GGATGCAGGAGCTGAAATGCCTTTGTTATTGTGACTATTATTTGCATTTGAAATGTTGTGGATAATTGTTTGCTGATACAGGGTTTTGAAAGTGCTATATGTCTTTTGGAAGGTTTGATTGCAAACTCAGCCTGTCCTGTCAGCGTGTCTATCTGCTTTCTTAGCTACTCAGAAAATAAATGAATCGTATGGAATGTTTTGTCAGACTGGAAGTAGAGACATTTTTGATTACAGTGCTATTTGCGTACATACTTGAATTCAGAGCTCAGGTTGGGTGGGTTGTTCCATCCACAAAAGAAAAAACCTTAGTACCTCATATCTGAGGCTCTTTTATATGTGTGTGTGATTGAAGAGATGTGTGATTTTTGTAATGATGGCAACATGGTGCACTAGCATTTTACATAGTTTTTTGTAGCTTTCTAGTTAATTCTCAATGTTGATATGTGGTTCTTACAGTTGTAGTTTTTTGTACATATGACGTGACGCATTTTGTCATGTTTTGTCGACTATATTTACAGTTTTACCAGAACTGGTTCTTGATTTTTCCCATGATATCTTAATGTACATACATAGTATTTTACCCCAGTTACTCAAATACTGCAATCCCCAGATAAAATCAGGGATTACATTAAAAACCTCAATCATAATTATTAACACCAAAAAACTGGTTACTTGAATAAGCCTATATTTATTTTAGTAATCCTGTGCACACTACTTCAATAAGCCTGTGCTAAGAATTTTTCACTGGATAACTTATTTACATCTGATTTTGTTGACGAATAATCCATTACGTTGTGGTGGAATAAAATAATAAAACTATACACAACTATATATATATGTATGTGTGTGTGTGTGTCTTTGTTACACTCTTTCACATCGTTTCATGCATGTAATACCCAGCACGACCGCTAGGCGTGAGCTGCTGTCGTGGCGGCCGTCGCGCTATTTATACGCAATTGGATGACGTGCCGCAGCAGAGGCGTGGCTCATTATGGGGGTATGCGTGTGTGTAAAAGCATTGGATACTTGGAAACGAAAAATCAATGAATAATCGCTCCACGACCTATTTCTTTTTGTCTATAGAAATTTGGCTTGCAGTTTAAAGCCAGTTTGGAGAATGTTACGAACGTGAGGCCGGTGGGAGATGATTTCCGCTGGTATTTAAAGGTAAAGTGTGTTCGTGTCACAGGCGGTCAGTGGACTGACATAAAAAAAAAAACTATTACTTTAAGCAGTTCACTGTTTTTATGGAAATTGAGAAAGCACTCACTTTTCAGGATCTTTAACTATTTATAGACTTAGAGTCATTCATAATGTGATTGATAATTGTAGTGAAACCTGTTCAAGTGGCCATGTGATTTAATGCCATATAATTTAATATCTGACTCCTGTCCTTGCAGCTGAAGTGTGGGAATTGTGGTGAGGTGTCGGATAAATGGCAGTACATCACCTTACTGGTAGGTTGAAAAGTGTGGGAAATAGAGTTAATAATCATATACTAGTATTGTTGCAAGATGTTCACATGCTTTTGTCCAAATCAGCTTAAAAACGAGAAGAAGAAAAAAAAAATGCAACAAAAAGGGAGCAAACAATATTAGCAGTGAAGATATGTTCATCTTCCCTATTTTAAAAGCAAATTTTCTATTACATTTTGCAAGTAAACGGAAAATAAATAAATAATATTTAAATAAAACACTGAAGAGGGAACATACATGCCGTTTTCATTGTGATTTTTTTCCCCAATAAATGTGTTTTCATTATTTCTCAAAAAAGTGACATACAATGCAATTGACATTTTTTCTCTCCAAGTTTTTAATGCATTTTATGTCCCTTTTTTTCACAAAATGTGTACAAAAAAATAATTGAAAAATTGCTTTTAAAAGAATTTAAAAAATACAAGAATAAGCACAGCCACACTGCATTGCAGAGAAAACATTTAATAAATATGTCACTAAGAAATGAAAATTCTGTCACCCTCATGCTGTTTCAAAACAGTGATTTTATTTATTTATTTTTATTTATAGTTAAGTTGTTATTCATTCAAAATCTTGCCTTCATTGATACACTGCACTTTTGCATTTGTGTTATTTCATGCATACTAAATTGCCTTAGTGCATAGAAATAAACGTCTGTGTAGTGATCGTTGGTCCTTTCCTTTCTTTAGGACAGCATGCCACTGAAAGGAGGACGAGGGAGTGCTAGCATGGTGCAGAAGTGCAAACTGTGTTCTCGGGAAAACTCCATAGGTAACCAAACTACTAGCTAGTAAATGTGCTGATAAAATGCTTACACATGGCCCGAATCTCCAGATGAGCTGCACAATAGCATCTTCTCTATTGGTGTTTCTACATTTTTGGTTTGGCCGTGGGTAAGTGCATATGGATGGCTTATTAACTGGATGTCTTACTTTCCAGATATCCTGAGGGACACAATTACACCTTACAATGTAAGGCAGAATAAATTCATTTTTTTTGTTTGTTAATTTAAAAACCACAATGTACTAAGTAAAAGATGCAGTTGCATATGAACATTTCTAGTTACATAATGCATATATTATTTGCTCAGTCTTGCGGGTACATGTATTTTCTCTTCTGAAGGCAGAAGACAGTGAAAGGTATAAGACAATTGTCCAGTTTGAGTGTCGAGGCCTGGAACCAGTCGATTTTCAACCTCAGGTGAGATATTCCAATAGTATAGTATAGTGTATATACATTTTTTAAAAGAAATAAAAGTATTGATTCAGCAAGGCAGCATTAAATTACTCAGAAGTGACAGTGAAAAGATTTGTTACAAAACATATTTATTTTCAATTAAATGCCGTTGTTTCGAACTTTCTATTGACCAAAGAATCCTGAAAAAAAAAATACGTTGGTCTCCACAAAAATACCTTTATTTTTTTTTTTACATTAATAATAATAATAAATGTTTCTTGAGCAGCAATTCAGCATAGAATGATTTCTGAAGGATCATGTGACACTGAAGACTGGAGTAATGATGCTGAAAATTCAGCTTTGCATCACAGGAATTAATTATATTTTAAAATGTATTCAAATAGAAAACAGTTGTTTTAAATTGTAATATTATTTCAGAATATTTCAATATTTTACTATAGTTTTGATCACATAAATGCAGCATTGGTAATGAGCTTAAGAGACTTCTTTCAAAAACATAAAAAAATATTGCTAACCGTGAACTTTTGAATGGTAGTGTATATAATGAAATAGTTGTTAAATAATCTTCAGAATCTTTACCCTAATCTGAATAAAACACATAAACATTCACTTTGTTATTTTTCAGGCTGGTTTTGCCGCTAGCGGAGCAGAAACATCCACCCAGTTCCCTGAAATCAACCTGCAAGAGAAGGTAAGAAAAAAAAAAAGGAATTCTCATATCATATCACACCTTCTAGTTCATTCAGGAGCTCATAACAGTCTCTTTTAAATGTTTCAGGACTGGACGGACTACGATGAGAAGGCCAGTGAGTCTGTGGGGATCTATGAGGTCACATATCAATTCATCAAGTGCTGAAAAATGAAGAGGTCTGATTGAAGAACAACTGATTGGTTACTGAATTAAGTTTTAAATTGACTGCACCACACTCTTGTTAGTTAGTGCTGATTGGTAAAAGGCTTATTATGTGTGAGATGGACAGTAAGTTTGGTTATACGATACTACAATAATAAAGTATGGAATGATCGGATATTTTTGTTTGTGTTTATGTGGGTTTGTCCTTTAGTAAAATGATCCAGAAAAGGAGAAGAGAGGCAGAGGAATATATTTACATGCCATTGTGACATATGGCAAGTACATTTACATTTACATTTAATCATTTAGCAGACGTTTTTATCCAAAGCAACTTACAAATGAGAGCAATAGAAGCAATAAAAACAACAAAAGAGCAACAATATATAAGTGTTGTGTCCCAGTTAGTCTAACACGATACATGTAGCAAGTGTTTAATGTTTTTTATAATAAAAGAATAAATAGTAGATAGAAAAAATGACCGTGAATTTAACGGTAAAAGACTAAAAATGCTACAATAAAAACCTGTTAAATGGTTAATGGTAAATTCCCCTACTATATACGGTGACAAACTGTATTGGACATTACATGTATTGGACATTAATTTTACGGTAGTATACTGTTTTTGGAAGTGAAAAAGACCTCCCTGCATTACATTTCAAATTTGATGTTTTTTTGTTGAAATAACTATGTTTCTTCTTAGTTTTTTCTTATCAGTTTTGTATATTAGGGTTGTGTGTTACACCTAATGTTGTTAAATGAATGTTTATTGCATTATTTCAGTTTCATGTGTGTTAACATGATGGTGTTTAGCGTTTGTGTGAATGACACTGTGCACCTTCTATACATGTTATTATTTAAAAGCTGCTTGTGATGGGCTTTGGTTCATCGTGTGACTTTCTCATCACCACCTGCATTTGGTGGTTATCAGTGTATTACAAAGGTACAAAACAGATTTCAGTACTTCAGTATGTTGGTATATTAACATTATATCAGTTAATGAAATTATGGTATTTAACTGTAAATTTAAGTTAAAACCGTAAAACCTAAAACGTTGCTACTGTATTTTTTACGGTAAAATTCCGGCAACCACAGTTGCCGGTTTTTTACCGTCAATTTTACGGATTTTTTTTTACAGTGTAGTGTTAGAGGGTAGTGTCAAGTTATTATTATTTTCATAATTAAAAAGAAAACAAGTAGATAGAATAGAATTAGAATAGAGAGTGTTAGTTTTAGAGGGTCACGTGTAGATGGAACAGATGAGTCTTTAGCCATTTCTTGAAGATGGCTAAAGACTCGAGTTTGGGCAGGTCATTCCACCAGCAGGGAACAGTGAAGGTAAAAGTCTGTGAAAGTGATTTTGTATTCACTTGCAGAAGTGAATTCATTTGCAGAACGTAAACTTCTGGAAGGCACATAAGTCTGAAGTAGTGAATTTAGGTAAAGGTTGTTTTAATACATATGGTGGCAAATGGGTGATGAACCCTAGTGGAGGACTCATCTCAAAGGGACACCCGCTTGGAGCTACAGGTACGCTTTATATAGTTCACCTGAAAATGTACAATTTGTTATCATTTACTCACTCATTTTGCTACAGATTTTTGTTTTGAGTATAAAACACAAAAGGAGAAGTTTAGCACAATGTTCACTCTGCTGTTCTCCAGTATCGGACTGTGGCTAGCTGCTGTCAAGCTCAATAAAACAACAAAACATACCATAAAAGTGATCTATGTGACTCTTGAACTATATTAAAAGTGACATGACGTATAGCCAAATATGGTGTCCCATACTCAGAATTTGTGCTCTGCATTTAACAATTTCCCTGTAAAACACTGACATACATCACAATTATTAGCAAACAATGGCTTTCATCTGCTTGGGGAGTCATATCTCTTAACTACTGAATTAACACTGGATGCATGCAGTACATCAGTTCTGCAGCTGGCTTGAGTTAGGGCTATGTTCATACTGCAGGCAAATGTGGCCAAAAATTTTTTTTTTGCTCACATGTGACTCAGATCTGTTTTTGTCATGACAGTGTGAACATCACAAACCGCATGGAATCTGATCTTTTCAATTCCGATTTGTGCCACTTCCATATGTGGTACTAAATCCGATACATGTCAGATGTTTTGCAATGCGACCGCAGTGTGAACAGTCATGTCGGATTTCATGTGACTTACGTCACTCTAGATCGACATTCGTCATAATTCCGTGCTGACGGGAGACACTTCAAAGATTTTTACATACCCAAAGTTATCAAGACATTTGCGAAAGGTAATCAGTGGAAGTGTAATGTGTCAGAACTCATAAGAATTACAGTGACGACTCAACAAAACACGAGGGCTCGTATCATAAAAGCTTCAAAACTCTGCTCTCTTCTGTCACATCCTTGTCTTTATTTTTCATATTGCCTGCACATAATTTCGCCGGATTCCGCATCAGATCACACTATAAATAAATTCATAATCGTTTACTTTATGTCCTCCGTGTTTACTTTCGTATGACAGCGCGCTGTGCAAGTGTTGCCAGCTCTTTTGCGCATACGGGTCAGTTCAGAATCATGATCTGTTCACACTGTAAAACTGATCTTGGCCACATTTAAAACAGCAATGTGAACAGCTACACAAAAAAATCGGATCTGAGAAAAAAAAACGTAGTGGGTGTGGTGGAATATTAAACCGGTTTGTCTCCTAATTGAGAACTGGTTTGTGTCATAAACCAGGGCTGCGTTCAGCCCCGACAAAAACGGTGCAAAACGTTTTTTAAATGGAAACGGTGGTGCGTTGAACACCCTGTTCTGATGACGCAAGTGTTGCAACTATGGCAGAGAACGATGGGCTCTTTACGTCATCCTTTTAACCTCTCCATCCATCCATCCATGTCACTTCCTGTCTTCCTCAAAGACCTCCAAGAAAGTACCTCGTCCACTTTGTGCCAGTTTTGTTTACTAATGATTAGAAGACAGAAGAATCAACAGGTCACAGAATAAAGCAACACTCACATAGAACCAATGAAGAGAGATGGCTGTGACTTTCAGAGCGAGTGAAGACGGTGGATGAACTCTGGCCTGTTTTCATGGCTCAGGTCTGGCTCAGTGTGCAGAGCTGTGCTGGCAGCTGAGGGGGGATGCGGGGCCTCGGCAGGTCCCCGGGGCAAAGGTCGCCCTGCAGCACAACATCGGTCTTGGTGGAGCGGTGGTCGTCACTCTCTACAGGATAGGCTTTCCTCAAGAAACAAGGTATGTTTAAAGCTAAAATATGTTGTGTGAACTGTCTTAACAAACACTGAGATGACTGGCCTAAATATATCCAGCTCACCTAGTTTATAGTTTTGTTTTAATCTATATGATCTATATATTCAAAATTCGTCAATTATTTCCCAAAATCCCAAATATCCGTTCAAAAGTTTGGGCTTGGTAAGATTTTATGTTTTTGAAGGTTTCTTCTGCTTTCCAAAGCTGCATTGTTTTTAATTAAAATACATTATAAACAGTAATACTGTAAAATATTATTACAATTTAAAATGACTCTTTTCTGTTTTATTATATTTTAAAATGTAATTTATTTCTGTGATGCAAAGCTGAATTTTCAGCATCATTACTCCAGTCTTCTGATATGATGATTTGGTGCTCAAGTAACAATTTTTTTCATTATCAATGCTGAAAACTCAACCGTGATACTTTTTTTTATTTGTATGAATCAAATAACAATTTATTTGTAACGGAAATCTGTTGTAACCTTATATAAGTTATGTTATTCTTTATTCTTTTGATTAACTAAACGTGTCCTTGCTGAATAAAAGTAATAATCTTAATTAAAGTATTAATCTTACTAACGCCAAGCATTTGAACGGCAGTGCACATTTTTATTTTTTATTTTTGTTTTATGCTTGAATGGTTCAGCTCTGTTGTATGTTTGTTTAAGCAGACTGGGTACAAAATCCAAGGTACAAAAGATTATATTTCTATATGACTTGCATAAACAAGTACATATAAATCTGTATGAGTACATACAGTATGTAAAGTTATAACACGTCATTAGAATATTATTTTTTTATTTTTTTTTATTTTAAGTATTAAATTTTGTTAAATGCCGTAGTTCTTATACATACATTAAAACTAGACCTTTGAACTTATTACACACCATACATGCACCAGCAGTGTTGAACTGTCTGATCTAAACCTTCTCAGCTCTCGGATCGCTGCAGTGGCCACCAGCGCGTCCAGCGACCTCAAAGGCTTCAAAGCTCACACTGTCTTCAAGGAGATAGAGAAGAAGCTACAGGAGGTAATTCATCAGGAATGAGGCTGTCTCTAACCAATCATACCATGCAAATCAGACTCTGCCTCTCTGCATTGACAGTGGTTTGGGATTTGTTAATGTCTTTGTGGCTTCTGCAAACCTATTACACCCAAAAATAAGATGCGCAGATCAACAAGAATGAACAATGACTCGTGGCTCATTTCTTTGGAAGAGTAATATTCCTGGAGGATGTCTAAATCACATCTCAGTTGACTTTTTAAATTCAAAATTTAAAAAAATCAAAGAAATAATTTGTACCAGTGTGAGATGAAAAATAATACAATAGCATACTGTAAGTGACATTCCGTCAAGAATAAGATTCACAGGGTTTTTCATGTGGGAGAAAAACAAATCCAATTTTCTACAGATTTATTAAATGATGTAATTATGATTATTTTTAACAGGAGGGAGAGGCATATGTTAAGAAAATTGGTGGTGTTTTCGCTTTCAAAGTAAAGGATGGTCCAGGTGGAAGTGAAGCATTATGGGTCGTGGATGTAAAAAATGGCAAAGGTTCAGTGGTCAATGATGCAGGTGTGTTCAATTTTTTTTTGTCCACCTCATTGTGTATTATTGGAATATTAATTATATATATAAACTACATAGTGACAGCATGGCATTTTATGACAAATTGACAAAAAAATAATTCAGCTAGAACAGATTAAATGGATCAAACGTGTCAAAGATACAAAAGATTATTTCAAATAAATGCTGTTCTTTTGAAATGTATTCATCAAATAATGCTTATCACAGTTTTCACAAAAATTTTAAGCAGCACAACTGTTTCTTGAGCACCAGATATTAGCATATTATTTCTGAAGGATCATGTGACACTGAAGACTGGAGTGAAAAGCTTTGAAATCACAGGATAAATGAAATTTTATAATATATTCAAATAGAAAACAATTATTTTAAATTGTAATATTTCACAATATTACTGTTTATGCTGTATTTTTGGTGAAATAAATGTGCCTCTGGTGTGCATAAGTGAAAGTGAAGTGACATGTGGCCAAGTATGGTGACCCATACTAGGAATTAGTGCTCTGCATTTATCCCATCCAAAATGCACACACACAGCAGTGAACACACACCCAGAGCAGTGGGAAGCCATTTTTCTCAGTCGTAGTATTGAAGGTGGGAGAGAGAGCACTGTACATTCACTCCCCCCACCTACAATCCCTGCTGGTACGAGACTCGAACCCACAACCTTTGGGTTACGAGTCCGACTCTCTAACCATTAGGCCACGACTTCCCCAACGAAAGTTTCTTCCATAAGAAACTCTTACCGACCTTTTAATATGAATGCAACAGAACAAATACATTTTTTTGTAAATTGTCTTTTGCATTACACACTGAACAGTCATTTGTTAGGTTTAGGTCTAAATTCAGTGTCTCTAAGAGCACTTTGTCGTAGAGAAATGTTACCGTTTCACTGTTTACCTCACACAGGTACAAGGGCAGACTGCACCATCTCAATGTCTGACTCAGATCTGCTTGAACTGATGACGGGGCAGTTGAATCCACAAACGGTACGGTTTAATGATGGTTTATTCTTAGTGGTTTGTTGATGTATTGTGTTCAGCTATTCTGAAGTTGGTGTATATCAGTGTAGTTTGAGGGCTAAATAAGGTTTGAGAGTGTCATGGGACACACAACACAAGTGTGAGTAGCTGTTTTTATTATGTGGTCACTATTGCTTTGTCTGTTATTACAGATCGTTTGATATGTGCTGAGTATTTATGCGTTTTTTAACCTAAATCACAGCAGTGTCCATCTGTGTAGGATGTAGGGTGTCAAACATACACAACGGTTAGCCAATCATAGCAGTGGGCGTTTACTTCCGAGTCGACAATCCGCCACGGCTATTCAAACAGAGCGTTCTGATACTACTTACTACTGGTTTAAAATACTTTACAATACATCAGTTAGGTATGGTATAAAAAAAACTTTACCTAACTCTTTGCATATAAGCCAATTAAACAATAATCGTTTGTTAAAATTAGTAACAATGAATGAAGAATATAGCCTATTAATGTATGTATTAACAACGTAGAGACTACTAGGGCTGTCAAAATGGCTGAAAAACTAATTTCGAATTTTGTACTTAAATATTATCAAAATTCGAATTATATTCGAATTTAAAATGCATAATATAAGTTAGGGTGAAGAAAAGCTCTTGGCTTCTCTTCTGAGGCCACAAGCATAAGATAACGACTATCTGTGAGAAAAAAAAGTGCATAATGTTTAAAATAATGTTTATAAATAAATTATAATTAATTAAGTTGCTTAAACAACTATAAACAAAACAGCATCATGTATGTATGTATAGTTAAATAGAAAGGGCAGAAAGCCAATCTAATTTAAAAACATGAGATGCAGTGGGATGGGGAAAAAACCAGCCATAGTCTCGATATATGTTTTTTTCAAAGTTAAACTTGCATTAATTTTACATGGCTTTCTAAACATGCGGCTCCTTTGTGCGAGACGCGAGTGCAACGGTGATAGATGTCCCTCTAGAAAATGTGCAAAATCAAAAGGGAAGTCGTGGCCTAATGGTTAGAGAGTCGGACTTGAAACCCAAAGGTTGTGGGTTTGAGTCTCGTACTGGCAGGGATTGTAGGGGGGGGGAGTGAATGTACAGCACTGCACTTTGGATGGGATAAATGCAGAGCACTAATTCTGAGTATGGGTCACCGTACTTGGCCACATGTCACGTCACTCACTCAAAATATGTGTCCTGTGTGAACGGCTTGATTTCAGTGTTGATGTAAACAAGATCTTCTCCGCATTGATGTTCTCTTTTTCCACAATATTTTCAATGAACAAAGCAGCAGCGTTTGTCAACTGGACAGCTAACAAAAACATTATAATGCAACGACACTTACATCGTCATCGCATCTTGTGCGGTGCGCCACTGATAAGGCTGCCTCCTTAAAGCACACCTAAAACTCGAATGCAACGCTTTTGCATTCGAATGTGGATTTTTATTTTAAATTCGACGAATAATCGAAATTCAATTTTTTTTGACAGCCCTAGAGACTACAATGAACGAGCCATAAACTGATATCTTCCCAAATCAAGTCATTGTTTTGTAATTATTTGTAATAAAGTAATTATTAATTACTTTGATTACTCTATACCTATTGTGAAGTGTTACTGAACTGGCTCATAAGAGTCAGTTGCTGGTGAATTGGCCTACACAGATCATGCTTCATGTTTTTGATTCATTAAAAAGAACCAGTTCATAAGAGTCAATTGGTTGTGAATCAGACTACACTGAAAACGCTGTATGTTTTTGTGTGCAGCCCACATGGACGACTCAAGAGAAAGATGTATTTTCATTTTTTCAATCAATTTGGCCTGCAAACCTGAGTAAAATATGACTGCTTTGGCTGTGTGCCTGTAGATTCTGAAGTCACTGCTGAGAAGCAGTGCAGGAAACAGTGGAGTATAGAGTGAAATATCATTCTTGACATTTTAAGAATTAATATCAAGAGTCCATAAAAGTTAACTAATCTCTATGAAAAAAAAAAGCTTAACATAGAGTTACTTTGACATTCCCTTGACCTGGCTTTAGCTACCATGACGTGCATACAGGATCAAAAACAACTGATTGAATTCCTGTCGCATGTCCAACCATTTCTTTTGACTTCATCATACATCACACAAAGCCTCCTGACACAGAATGCCGATCAGAAAGAAGCGGAAATCTTTTATGCAATTCCAAATTAGGCTAATGGCATCTAATGGTTCCTCCGCTGATGTGAGTCAGAGCATGAAAAATAGATTCTTTTCATAAGCCCTTTGAAATGTCATTCCCCCGTGATTTATCCATCTGTGTTGACTCAACAAACCTCCATCATGTCTGTCCATATGTGGAACGCTACATCAGACATCAGATGGTTTTCACAGTAATCCTCCTTAAAGGGAATCATTTTCAGATTAATCTGAAACAGAAAAGCCGAACCAATTAGAGCTCAAATCCATCATGCTCATGTAGAAATGGCCAAATGTAGAAAAAAAGTCACAATAAATGTTAGGGGAGCAGTGAAAAATGATCATAACCTTTTTATTGTGTATTCATATACAGTGTATGTAAATATGTGTGTGTCGTAGATTGTCCAGCCCTTCTCTGTGACAGGTTTTTAGTGTTATTGACATCCTATTATAGTTTATTTATTCTCATTTCAGTTTTAGGTATTTTTGTACAAATTTGTACAGAGAAATGTTGCCATGTCAACTAGCTGAAATAAAATGTTTTTATATTATATTATTTATTTTATGTTGTTATATGTGACCACAAAACCAGTCATAAAGGTCAATTTATTGAAATTGATACATCACCTGAAAGAATAAATAAGCTTTTCATTGATGTATGGTTTGTTAGGATAGGAAAATATTTGGCTGAGATACAACTATTTAAAAATCTGGAATCTGAAATCCGCCTTTAAAGTTGTCCAAATGAAGTCCTTAGCAATGCATATTACTAATGATAATAAATTTGATACATGATTTTACAAATTATCTTCATGGAACATGATCTTTACTTAATATATTTATATATATTATTATTTTATATATTTACATATTTACAGTATTGTAATAATTACAATACAGACTCTGCACTGATAGAGTAGCTTTTGCATTCTCACTTGCTACGAGGAAAACGTGACCATTTTCTTTCTTCTAGGCCATTCTTGAATAACAAAGAGTTGAACTGCACTTTATTTTCCATAAGCTGAAGACGATTCATAACTCACCTGCTGAACTTTTATCCTGAAGCAGTTTGACCTACAGAAGCTTACCTTAAACTGTAACGGTTTATGGATGCATCATTCATCTCCAACACTTTCAGCACTGCATATTGTATTAGACAGTATGAATTTAAACTGTGCATTTCCCAAGAACACAACATAGGCACCATATGTTTAGAAGGAACAACAGGGTGTTTTTTCCCTTTTGTTGCTTCTTCACTCGCAAGCTTGAAATGAACTAGCTACTTAACTAAATTTGCAAGTACATCGTCAAAGTAAGTGGACGGCGATATGACAGAAGAATTTACTGTTCTTAAAGGGGTCATAGGATGCTACATGCACTTTTACAAGTTGTTTGAACTGAAATATATGTTGGCAGTATGTGTACACAACCACCCTAAAATGATAAAAATCTACTAAAATCTTTACCCCTTTCTCAAATCGAGCCGATCTCAGATGCCTGTCTGTGTGACGTCACACAGACAGGCC